GTCAATCAGTCTGATGAAGCCTTTGGGCCCCTTCCTTGAATCACACTTTAAAATAGCTAGGATTCCTAAGGAAATAAATTTTACTAAAATACATTTTTAATTACATTTAAAATACATATTAAAATAAAATATTTTATTAAAGTATTCATGAAAACCAGAGAACAAATTCACAGGCCCCCAATTTAGAGTGCCTGCTTTAATGGACCTTTCTTCCCTAGTTAGTTCTGATAGGTCACTCTTGATAGGATTGTAGGACCAAGGTTGAGGTGTGACTGAAGCCTGTGGGATGGCTCAGGGTTGGGTTTGGGAAGAGGGCCACCAGATGTGTTTCAGATTCCAGAGCTGCTGATTTTCCTGCTTGGTCCAGTGTCCCACACATTATCTTTGTGGTGTCATAAGACATCATTGAAGGCCCCTGCATGTTGAGATGCTCTGTGGACCACAGGCAGGGTGGGAAGGGTGGAGGTCCGTACTTTTGGATCCTTTGTTATTCCCTAAGCAAGAAAGCTGTTGAGTTGATTGCTGTCTCTGCTCAAGCTAATCTCCCCCCGTAATCCCCTAATATGTATTCTGAGCCTGCTTGTTGAAGAAACTTTATTTTCTTCAAGGAGAAATTAGTGAGCTTGTGATTTATTGGATAGTTTTAGCCTTGATAAGTTATCATGATGACTTAGCTACCTGGATTTCTGTGTTACAGGTTTCCAAGTCTGGTTAGATTTTATGATTCTCAGTAATTTTGCCCCCAGTTACCAAAGACATATGTTTCTGATTGACCTCCAACTCCCTGCTCGCTTAATCATTGTTCCGTAATAGAAAGCTACATGGGGACCAGGCCCTGTTCCCCAGGGTTCCTTGATTGCAAGTAAGCTCCCCAAGTCTTCTGCTCTTCTGTGACCCAATCCCTACCTTTCCTCCAAGACTGTCTCCTCAAGCTCCCCCTCACCCAAACCCTGTAGTATTGCCTTCTGCTCCATTTATTAGACAGCAATTCTGACTGATTAATTTCTCTGTTCTCTCCCCTCCTACTCTAACCTAGGCTTCTAGGGCAGAGCCTTCCTCAACATTAATGCCCCACTCCCATCCCACTGTGATTCTGTAACAACGTGGTAGGGGGATTAGAGGAACATACCAATAATTGTAATAAACAGTCATTCAGAGGAGGAACATAGAAAATGGAAACAGAGAATTAGGTGAAGTTTGAAGGGGAAAAATCATTGCTAACAAAGAGAATCAGAGAAGCCCTAGGGGAGGTAGCACTGACCTTTGGCTTTAAGAGCAGGACGGGAGCTTTTCAGACATATGAGCCAGCATGGGAAAGGACATGTTGATAGGAAAAGTGTGACGGGGCACAGGCAGAGACTGAGGTATCAAATCCCCAAGACCCTGGTTAGCATTCAAAGCCCTTCAGAAGGAGCCAGCTTCCCTTTCCAGCCTTCTTCCACCTTCTTCCTAACACATGCTCTTCTATCCAGTGCCACTGCCTCCTGGATGTTCCATGGACAAGACCCTCCCTCCATCGCTCAGCTCTGGACACTTTCTCTGTTTGTCCCCCATGCTTAGTTTACTCTCCTTC